TCATTCATTCAGATTGAAAATATTGAACACTACCATTTTTCAGCCGCTAGATGGCACCAGATGTGTATAGCATGCTGTTGTATCATGTAATGGGTAAAAGTGGCTATTAATGGCACAGTCAGCTTGCCAAAGAGAAAGGTGTTTGCTAAAGTCTTTGTTAATCTAATTCACAGATGAGGCCCTCTGGTCCCATCTGATAGGTGTGAAACTGGCTGGGTATCAATCCTAAAGCTGCATTATAAGTTTTTGAAAGTTGAAATCTGAGGCCTCCTCCTCTGTTTAATTAGATTAACAAATACCTACTGTGAGGTGTGATAGGTCAATCTGCATATGCATGTGTGTATCTTTTCTCAGCTTTATAACCTGAATCCCACATGCTCTGCTCTTTGAATTGAGAAAGCTTCTCGGATGAGAAGCGAAACATCTTCTGTTACAAATAAACTCCACTTGTTTTTGTCAAACTTTTTTTATTTACCATGTTCTAGATTACTTAAAATCTTCACCAGCCAAGTTCAAAAGAAACTATGCTACTTTAACATTTGATTGTTATACATAATGATTGATTGTTTTGGACGGATGGGTCCTTTTGCATGTGTTAAAGTCTACTTCTGAGATTTCAACAGGAGGTTGGCTTGAAAAACGGCAGTGAAAGCTACTTATGGAACAGATCTGGTTAGCAGGCCGAGACTGATGAAGTCTTCTGGATGGAAGACAACATTTCTCCCTTAATGAAACCGGTCCAGATTAAATTATTTAATATTTTTGTTGTTATCTACCTGGATGATTGAGCATAAACATTTTTTTTTATGCTAGTTATGTAACAAAAGAGCTATTCTGTCAAATGTATCAAATACTAAAATGTTGTCTTCAACATTTTTGAATTTGCTCAGGTGAGTTTGCTGTCCTAATAAATCACATAATCTGGACAGATTAAATTAAAGTCCTTCATCCAAGTTCCAAAAATAAACGATTAGGTATAAACTTCATCTCAGTTCTTGGGTGCATAAAAACCAGTAGAAATTCTGCTTAAATAACTATTTTTTGTTTTAAATAACATAATTAATCCTTGTAGTTACACCAACAAATCTAATTACTTAAATACTTCTTCAAACCAGTTTTTGTCCAAATTACTAATCTCTTTTATGTCTCACTGCAAAAATTCATTTGAAACTGTATTAAAAAAATAAAAACTTTATTTTCCCAAAGATTAGGAGTAAAAAAATGGAATTATTTGCTAGTAATTTAAATGCTAAATTTGTAAATGTCACTATATTTTAATAGGTGTTGAAAAAGAAAAGTTATTTAAGCTGTGTGGTTTGATTTGATTCATTAGCTTTTCTTTTAAACGTCCGTATTTACATTGCTCTTGTGACAAGTCAAAGCTTAATTCTCTCTCAAATTCCTAAAACCTGGTGCAGCGGTCCATGTTGGACTTTTATCACAAACCAATCGCCACCATGCCATCACACACACAATCTTTCACTTTGCAACCAACATTTAACCCTCAGAACACAAAGACTTTTCTCTGAATTAACCTCAATAATAAGTTGTTGGGGAAAAGCAGAAGTCACGCTGCAGCCAAACAGTCTGCAGTGTGACAGGTAAGTGAGGGGAGAACCAGTCCTGAGGAGCAGGTGTGCCTCACTCAAGTTGGCTGCTCACACCTAAAGGTGGTTGTAACGATTGCAGGAAGAGTCCTTGCAAAACAAAACAAACTGACACACCGTGTTCGCATAAAACAAGAAAAAATCTCATTATATTTACACCTATTACTGATACAGAGCAACGGTCTTTTATAGACTCGTGCGGTCTCCTCTTTAGCTCAAACCTAATAAACTTGAGTCTAGCTTTGTTTCAACTGAACATAGTTTCATTCTTCTGTGCACACAAACAGATGGACTGGCAGACACATGTTACTTAAAGTTGCCATTAAAATGTTTGAGCATGCAAAATGCATTACGTGCAACATATGTGTAGAAGACTTATGAATGAAGTGTAGGTGCACAATAAAAGTGACTCAACAATAAGCTAAAACTAATCTGACTCATTAGAAAGCTCGTGCTTATACTATTATTTATCCTGTAAAGAAAAAGCACTTTTTTTTGTAATTCCAAAGCAGATGGTTCATTTTAAGACACACAATTGACCGGTTTATTCAGAAAAGAATCCAAAATCTCCAAACAGAAGGCTCTGTTAGCTGTCAGGGAAAGTCACCATGATGCTGTTGTCAGTCTAACGGATCGCCTGATGGAAGTGAAGTCCCTCTCAGGGCAGCAGCAGCCTCTGGGACGGTAACGTTATGTAGGACACATCTCTTTTCTTACTTTGTTTCCTGCACTTGACATTTGATGTTTTCTGTAGCTGTGTGTCCTTCTGAAGGCCTGGGGACATTGGTGGCTCTTGGATACCTGATGTCACTCTTCTGCATGATTTGTCAGGAAAGCTCTGACAGAGCTGTGTTCGTCAAAAGAAAACAGGAATTACAGTATCCACAAATCCAGTCAAATATGTCTTTAATATTAGAAGACTTAAACATTTAAAGGAACATTTGGAAGGTATTACACTTTGCAGAGAATTTTGGGCTTATAAAGAAGGACAGTTGATGCTTTTAGACCAGGGGTTTGCAACCTTTATGATCAAAAGAGCCATTTCTGTCCCTTTGCACAATAAAATACTGCATCTATGGAGCTGCAAAACCTGCTAAAATTATTAATACAAAACTAAAATATTACAATATTTATTGATATTTTTATATTTTAGGGCAAAAGAGAAGACTGGATTTATGTACAGTGTGTGTGTGTGTGTGTGTGTGTGTGTGTGTGTGTGTGTATATATATAATTTGTTTTAAATAGATTTTATAAAAATTCAAACAGAAGTATGCTTATGTGGGTTTTCTTTTTTAATTGTGGAAACAGTAAACAATTCACAAGTATCCTACTATGAAGTAATAAAGCATAAAGTTAAAAATTAGGCCAGTTTCTTGGTAATTGAATGTTTAAATGAAAATAAATAATTCCATTTACTTTGTCTTTGTCTTGTTCTTTAATTTTTGTTGTTATCACGTTGACTCACCATATTTCCTCTCAGCAACTTGTCTTAAAGGTATTACCCGTAAAACATTTGGTGGATTTGAGTTAAAGGTCACACCGTAAAACTGGAAGTGAGCTAAAAGAAGTGGCTAACAAACTACTAGCATGATGTAATCAACAAGTTGTTACCATTTGTGTATATCATTCACATATCAGCAAACGCAGGGCTTAATTTGTAAACTGATCTATGCCGGAATGCAAATAGCAGGCGTGGTTGTGGTGGGGGACGGGTTCCTCCCCCAGAAAATTTTGAATAAAGTCTATGTGATTTCCTGCATTTTGGTTAATTTTAGTGGGTTGTTCACCTACATTTGTAAACACTCTGTTTCTGTCAAGCATCCTAACCCTCCCCACCCCACTTGACTGTTCCGAGTCTGATTCTTCTCTGCTAAATTCACTGTCTGGTTCGTTGTTTTCCGATTTGCGAAACCTCCAGGCGCCTCCTCTGTCTGTGCTCCTGCCCACGTACGACATCCTGGTTAGTTTGGTCGGCTCTCACCCCCACCACTATTATAGGGGCTGAGATTTTTTTAAGGGTAGAGGTGAAAATGCTACTTTAAGAGGCAGCTTGTACGTGATATTAAGAAGTCATAAGTGGCTATTGTGTTTAAAATTAGTGTTTATGTAATTATTTTCAGTTTACATATCCAAAATAAGTTTTATTCGTTCAAGGCAGTCATTTTTTCGTAACTTTACTTTAGCCTGAGAGTTACCAGATCCAATCAAATAGTTACCAGAATGCACCCTGTCAAAATAAGAACGTTTCCAGTTCCTGTTCCAGCAGGATCTGGCTCAAATTAAGCCCTGGGCAAAATAAATGATGGGAAAACTACTAAAAGTAGCCATTCCTTGTTGGTTCAGTTTAATGTTAGTTTGGGTGAAAACTTAGAGCCGCTGCAGAGGAACCAAAGGGCCACTTGTGGCTCCAGAGCCGCAGGTTGCAGACCCCTCTTTTAGACTGATCTTAACAGCTATAATATGCAATGTGTTTGCTTATATCACATGATTTTGAAGAGGTTCCTCCAATTATTTTCCTTTCAGCGGAGGTTGAATATACACCGCGCAGTAAGGTTCTGTATAAACGTGAGCAGCATGCATAATGTAGCCAGTTTGCATAACTTTAAGTAGAAAAATGACAGCTCATTAAAGGTCTAAAGTGAAGGTCCACCTCTTCTGAAGCCCGCTCTCATGAAATACAGCAGCGAGGAGCAGGGACACCTAACACAGCTCTTCAAAGGAAGGGGACATGTCAGGACTTGAAAGGAAAAGGTTAAAGGTTTAACAAAGAGTTGCACTTTATTCTCTGTGAAGTGAGCACCGTTATGGGGGAATCTCCTTTAAAATTTCTCCTATTAGATATTATTTTAAAACGTATGCTTTTTACAAATCTCACAGCATGCTATTAATTAAATGCACAAGCAATGTTTCCAAATATGTCAGATTTTTTTTATGCTTTCCTCAGAAATAAAAAAAAATTTTTTTCTTCTGCAAAATCAAAAGTCGCCACTGGATGGCGCACGAGTATCTTTATTGGACTTTAAAGATGAGCTCGTTTTAAAGTCTCAAATTAATAACAAACTCGTGCATGTGAATGAACCGTGCACCAGCAGGGTTATCCACTGCAGACCCCTTCATGTCGGATTAATCAGGGTCGGACATGTGAAAATCACAGCAGTATCAATAACAGGCAGTGAAAGAAAGTAATCCTTTGGTGTCCTCTGGGGCAGCGCGCGCAGCATTGAACTGATTAATATTGTAAACAAACTTATTAGTCCACGTATGTGCCTTTAATTGCAGAGTACTTCTGAGGAGTGGGGTGGGGTTGGGGGGGGGGGTTGCTGCGGCTGCACACAAAGAATGGGCGTGAGTTTCCTCTGGAAAGGAAGCCCAGAGACTTTTTTTTTTTTTTTTTTTTTGGAGCAACAATCTGCGCGCACTGTTCAGTCTGGGAGAGACAGCGATCACACAGGCGGGATGGAGAGCACAGGTGAGTCAAATATTCAAATATTGAGCTTTTGTTTCCAGAAGGTTAAACGCGTAAATGGCGCTTATGGATAACAATGAGGAGAATATATAACATTATTTAAATTTTCTATAAAGTGTTTCACAGTCAGTCAAAAGCTTGATTTAATTAAAACATGATGAAAATCAATTAAATGAAATTTACTAGCCTTTTTTTTAATTATTGACAGCAGTTGTCCATTTTACTCGCATTTTACGCATCACATTAGTGACTAATTAGGCAAAGATCCCCTGATTTTCTTGTCTTACGTGACGATTCCAACATTTTTCTCTCACATCCCCAGGATTTACAAAAACAGATGTTTGAACACTTTCTGAAACAACAACTAAGACGCACGGGAGGGAGGAGAGTCTCCGCCAGGAAGAGTCTGAGCGTGTCAGAAGCTGTTTGAGAGAGTGTGGGAGCATCACAGACAAGAGAAAAGAGAGAGGGGGGAAGAAGGAACAGGGGGACCAAGTCTGGACCAGGTGATCGACAAACCTCCAAGGGGCTGCCGGGTTGTATCATTGTACACGGGATCAGTGATCGACCATGGTGCCAGCGCGCTGCCCGGGAGCCCGTGCCATCCTGGCACTGGTCATCCTCTTGGGATGTGGCGTGGTTCTTTCCCTCGGTCAGAACGACACAGAACCCATCGTGCTGGAAGGAAAGTGTCTCGTGGTGTGTGACTCGAACCCCTCGTCGGACGGAGCGGTGACCTCCTCACTTGGCATATCCGTGCGCTCCGCCGGGGCAAAGGTGGCTTTTTCCGCCGTGCGTGGGACCAATCATGAGCCGTCAGAGATGAGCAACACGTCCATGACCATCTACTTTGACCAGGTAAGAACATAAACTCAGTCCCGTGACAATTTCTGGTTCTGCGTCCTGGCGCAGGGTGCTGCGCTCCACGGGTGCAGTGTGCGCGTGCACAACTTGTTCTGCGCGATTTGCTTTTTACTTCTTCTTATGTCTGACCATGGTCAAACTCCATAATAAAGGAGTTTGTCCCCCCCACCCCCCACCCCTGAAAATGATTCAATTAATGATGTGCGTAATTGGAGTAATCTGAGCAACTCGCAGTGATCATTCACGCAAAATTATTTATCAGATAAGCCGCCACGTTTGCGTTTCAGCCGCGCAGCTCTGCGTGTTCCAACCAGTCTGTCCTGCTGAGGACTCTGCGGCCTGTTCTGTGCATCAGTCTGGAAATCCTCCCCAACTGCGTCTGGAGCGCAGCTTTAACCGTTTGGCACTCCTGACGCGTTTCTTTTCCATAAAGGACACACGTGATCACAAAACAGCTGTCGGGATGACAAACACACAGACAGGGGGTAAACAAAGTGAAATGAAACACCATTATGTGTTTTTTGGGTTGCAGGTTTTAGTGAACATCGGCAACCATTTCGATCTGAAAGCGAGTGTTTTCCAGGCTCCGAGGAGGGGGATCTACAGTTTCAGCTTCCACGTGGTGAAGGTCTACAACAGACAAACCATACAGGTGAGGAATAATGAAGCACGTGCACTGGATGGAAAATCCAGAGGCTCAACGCTGCGGCGCCTTTGTGCTCCTCCCTGCAGGTGAACCTGATGCAGAACGATTATCCGGTTATATCGGCGTTCGCGGGCGACCAGGACGTGACGAGAGAGGCCGCCAGCAACGGAGTACTGCTGATGGTGGAGCGGGAGGACCGCGTGTACCTGAAGCTGGAGCGGGGCACCCTCATGGGCGGATGGAAATACTCCACCTTCTCAGGCTTTCTAGTCTTTCCTCTATAATCCGATATGCGCTGGACTCTCTGGAACAAAAGCAAGGAAGAAAGAAAGCTGAAAAAAAGAAGAAAAGGTGCCATTTATTTTTCAATTTTAATAACTGTCAGCCAAGGAAGCCGACGAATATGTCCACAGTGTCCACTATCTATAATATCAACGTTTCCTTGGAGTTTCATATAATCCAAATCCATCCGTCAGATGTTACGCAATCTGGATGACTATTGATGGCCAGTGATTGGCATGTTGAGGATTTTTCCCCTCCTTACCTGGAAAACAAGCGGGGTGCTTTTGGGACAAGGGGAGCAGATGTCCCGGACAGGCCGAGTGTGTTAGGCTCTATTTTATGTTTGTATAGCCTTTAAATTATTATTTTTTTCCTCGTCCAAGTGAAAACAAGGGGATTATGGACAAGCCAGGAGAAGAAGCAGCAGACGAAGAAGAAGTGCTTTCACGCCCACAGAAGGCGCACTGTTTTTTTTTTTGTTTTTTTCCCCGTTTTGCACGAATGGAAGTTTTAACTCCTCTTTATGTTGTGCTGTCAGTGGTGTTTGGATGCTGAAACATGTTGAAAAATAAGCCAAAATCTAGACGACTTTATTATAAAGAAGTACAAAAAAAAAGAGGCGACAAACTCCAGCCACCAGAGATGACTTAAAGCCCTTTTTATTTAAAGGAAAACTATATTGAATTTATGAATATTTCACAGTACTGTGTGTTCTACATTTCGGACATTTGCCTATAGCTTTGACTGATTTAATGTTCGGTGACTCTGCTCACTAAATGTACATTAATTGTGAAGATTATAGAAGAATCCCTATATGTCCCGCCTAATAAACGATATTGTACTGTAAGTAGGCGCTCATCCCTTCTTGTTTCATGGGGTCGCTGTCCGAGGTGCTGAAATACACACAGCTTTTCTTATGGGAGTTAGGAGCTGACAACAAATGTTACATTTAAAAGTGCAGACTTTATGATAAACGTAGTCAGATTATATCACAACGTATGTTTCCGATTATATCACAACGTACGTTTCAGATTATATCACAACGTATGTTTCAGATTATATCACAAAGTATGGATGTTTGCAAAGAATTGATATGCTGCTGGAAATGTGCAGTTTAAATCCTCGGCGTCCATTTTTTTTTTTTTTTTAAGAGCAGAGCCACACAAATAAATTTGATTTTGTGATTCGATAGAAATAAATTCTTGCACGATGTTAAAGAAACAAAAACAACTTCAGCGTGGGCAAAAAAAAAGCAGAAGGTTTCCGATTCAAGTTTCATTTTTTGAACCACAGAGGTGGATGCCTTATGCAAGTTTTTAGTTATCTCCACTCCCCCCACTCCTCCCCTTTCTCCTCTTTCTAATACATGTTTGGCAACACGGCAGCTCAGTGGTTAGCAGTGTTGCCTCACAGCAAGAAGGTCCTGGGTTCAATCCCCGGTTGGACGTGGGGTCTTTCTGGGTGGAGTTTGCATGTTCTTCTCGTGCTTATGTGGGTTTTCTCCAGGTACTCCTGTTTCCTCCCACAGATCAGAAACATGCATGTTAGGCTGCCTTCAGGCCCAGGCCTCCCTTGAAAAAGAGATCTGTGATCTCAGTGGGATTTGACTGGTTAAATAAAGATTAATAATAATAATTAATAATAAAACATGTTCAAGGCCACACCTGAGTCGAGATCAGGTGACTCAGACCCATCAAAGCAAAGCAAAGTGCTGTACTGCGCAAGAATTAGTTGTTTTTTCCTCCTGATGGTGATTTTTAATAACAAATACAACAGACAAGTTGATTTCACCTGAAAAGGTTGAGATGCATTCATAAAATACATCTGATTTTCTTTTTAAACATGTTAAAATGCAAACAGTTCTGTAAAGATTACAAGTCTTCTGTGGAAACAAAAGAACCAAATGTGAAAACATACCCAGTAAGGCACCTTGTAACTGTTCTTCCATTCTGGGTCGTAAACTCAAACAGGAAGTTCTTTGCATTTCGAAAGACGGCGGGTGTTGCCTCATAAGTTTTCATTTTGCGAGGCAAACATGACAAATGTCAGTGACGTGTTCACTTGTGCTTCAGCTTATGTGTAAAACATATTTTGGTGATGTTTTATCATAAAAACACACATTTAGGCCTCATGTACGACAGCTGTGCGTTCCTGCTGAAACAATTGTTGAAAACTGTAAACTAGTCTTTTTAGTACAAAATATACTTATTTATAGGAGGGATCAGAAGTACAAACAACTATTAATTAAATTTATATATGTCATAGTAGTAAAGTGAATGGGTTGAAATGTTACTTTTGTAAATGACTATTTATTTACAGATTGAAGCAACGTTTTGAGGAAAATCACAAAGTCTGTTTGAACACGTCTGCTAAGAGTTTAGGCTGTGCAAGGCCTCATTAAATGCTGTAGAAAACCGTCCAAAAGAGCTAAATTGCAGCAATTTTCTGTTAATCCTCGGCTTGTTGAAATATATTAACACCCCAGCAGTGTTCTGCATCAAACACAAACAGATAAAAACTGCTGCTTCAACTGTGGGGATTCAAGTGAACACCTGCAGCTGCTGTGCAGCTGGGCCATCTGAGAATTTCTCCTGTGCAGACAGCTGGAAATTTGAGTGTGCTCGGGTATCTGCTTTTTTTTATTTTCTAAACTTTACCTTCATCTAGAACGTACCAGCTGAGAACAAAAAGAAAGAGACCTGCTGATTTGCTGCTGATGCCAGCAAAGGGGCAGCGCGAAGCAGCAGAAACTGCCAGAAACACCCCAGATTTTTTTTAGTGAGGGTATTAAATTGGTCTTCAAAAGAGCCGTCCTCGTACTGGAATGAAAACTCCGCAAACAACGATTTGCTTGGATAAATGACAACACTGTCATTTTAATTAAAACAACGAAAACAAAAGGCTTTCGAACAATCAAAAGCACTGGATTAAATTACTTCTTTGTGTAAATGATCGATTTTGATTTTCAAAATATGGAGGTGTTTTTATGTAAAACCTTGAGTAGGCGGAGTGTTTAATAATCAGACTTTATCCAAAACAAAGTGTAAATAACACTTTAATGCCAACAGTATTGCAAAACAGCTCTCACCCTAACAGGATTGTTTTGTTGTTGTTGTTGTTGTTAATAAAAATTCAGGCTGATCTAATAATAAAATATTCACAAATTTCCCAAAGACCGACTTGAAACAGTTTTTATTAAAGCACAGATGGCATTTTACTGCTCACTGCAGAGCATTAACACATGCAGTCGCCATAAAACAATATCTCTGTGCTCGTTTAGTCATGTCTGTTAAATAGAAGTTCTCAGGATGAACATTATTGTGTGACTGTTCATGAAGCATCCACACAACTGTAACTCGTTCCACAGTTTTTGTGATATTTCAACAGATCATAAATCAAAATGTTCAGCTCTTCCAGGACAATCCTGCTGTGACTTTTGGTATTGGTGCAACTTTAGCTTTTTGAAATATTTAGCCTTTTCTGACATTTTTTTTACTCATAGAAAATGAATTGAGCTCATTTTACATCCTTCAAATCTTTAGATCTGTTTACAACCTTTTACTGCTCCGTTCACATTTTGTTCTGGTTCAGCTTCTTTCAGCTTCCTTGTGAAAAAAAAAAAATCAGCTAATTTCAGCTGTTTTATCAGCTGTTTTGTGTTCCATTCAGATTTAAGATAAGATAATTCTGCTAAATAACATTTTTGTGCTTCTTCTAACCTATTTCAGCTAATTTCAGCTTGTTCTGTTCCTTTCAGTTATTTCTGCTATTTCATCTATTATTTAGTTGTTTATGCTATTTTTAGCATTTTCAGCTTATTCCACTTTTTTGCACTCATTTAAACATTTTTCAACCTAATTCAGCCAAATCATGCTGTCTCCAGTTGTTTCTGGTAATTTAAAGCTTCTTTTGGCTTTTTTAGCTACTATTCAGCAGGTTTTATTTGTATCTTTTTTGCACATTTCTGCTTTATTAAGGTAATTTCTGCCCTTTTGTCCCCATTTCTGCTTCTTTAAGTCTAATTGGACACAATTGTGCTCTCTCCAATTTCTTCTGGTAATTTAAGCTTCTTTTTGCCTTTTTTTAGCTACTATTTAGTTGCTTTATGCTAATTTTAGCATTGTCTGCTTATTCCACATTTTTCGCACTCATGTAAACTTTTTTCAGCCTATTTCAGCCAAATCATGCTGTCTCCAGTCGTGTCTGGCAATTTAAGCTTCTTTCTGCATTTTTAGCTACTATTCGGCAGGTTTTATTTTTTTATTTTTTTGTACAATTTTCTGTTTTATTAAGGTAATTTCTGCCCTTTTGTCCCCATTTCTGCTTCTTTAAGTCTAATTGGACACTATTGTGCTCTCTCCAATTTCTTCTGGTAATTTAAGCTTCTTTTTGCCTTTTTTTTTTAGCTACTATTCAGTTGCTTTATGCTAATTTTAGCATTTTCAGCTTATTCCACACGTTTTACACTCATTAAAAAAAAAAAAATCAGCCTAATTCAACCAAATTGTGCCGTCTCTACTTGCTTCTGGTAATTTTAGCTTCTTTCTGCTTTTTTTAGCTGCTATTCAGCTGGTTTTATTATTTTTTGCAAATTTCTGCTTTATTAAGATAATTACATTTTTTTGTCATTATTTCTTCTTCTTTAAGCTCAATTGGACATGATTGTGCTTTCTACAATTTCTTCTGGTAATTTATGCTTCTTTTGCTTTTTTAGCTACTGTTCAGCTGTTATTGTAAATTTCTGCTTTTCAGATCATTTCTACTTTTTGGTGCTTATTTCTGCTTCTTTTGGCCTCATTGGGCACAATTGGTCTCTCCACTTGCTTCTGGTAATTTAAGCTTCTTTCTACCTTTTCAGCTACTTTTCAGCTTTTTCTTGCTAATTTAAGCTCATTTTAGCTCATTTTTGTGCTCATTTCTACCCATTTAAACCAAATTCAGCCATTATGTGTTATTTCTGCGTTCTTCTGCTAACTTAGTCTTGCTCTTCCATTTCAGCTACAGTTCAGCATGTTTTTAGCTAATTTCAGCTGTTCTTCATCAAGTTCTTCAGCAATAAACATTCACACTGCATTTTCTAATGCAGCTTCTCTAGTTTTAGGAGTGGTCCTTTTTGATTTCCAGGACTCTGGGACACGTGCACATGCAGGGAGATCATAGACTCACCGTGCCCTCACAGCGGGGTGTGGCAGCAGCAGCTCTGTGCATTGGAAATTAAATTATGGGATGGATGCATGTCAGATATTCCTTAATGAGGTTGTTTTAATGAGTGAATGGAGACGCATTTAGAACGCTTGAGTCACGTCATTGAACTGCTCTGATAGAATTGTGCCTATTGTTTCTTTGTGCTCACAAAGAGGAAGAACTTTGGTTTGAAGGCTGTCCTCTAAAGATCTGTAAAGTTTTGACTTTTATTTTTTAGTCATCTCTAAACATTTAATCACGCTTGCTTATATTGGGTGAGGTGTGCAGTCGTAACCAGGTGGCAGGTAAAGTGTCCTGTTCTCTCTCTTTGTCTAAAGGAAGAAGAAGATAAAGATAACGGATGGATGTTAAGCAAAAACAAGATGAATGCCATTTTCATGACCCAAACTCAGTTAATTAAATTCACGTTTAAATTAACCAAACATGTGTTTAACTAGACTTTCTGCACATTTGTGCC